AGGGAGAGGGAGAGGGAGGGAAGAGAAGAGGATTCAAAAAGATCCACATAAAAGGTTTCAACTTATGCTTGTACACAAAACATAAGTATAATTTTATTAATATTTGATAATACACAATTTTACTTTCCTTTGCTATATTATTATCACTTAATATGATATTCAATTGTAATAGAATGTTCAGCCATTCGAGTACAATGTTTATATAATTAAAATAATATAGCTTTATTATACTATGTAATAATAGTATGTAACTTCTTTTTTTGAGATAGCCTTGCTGTGGAGCCCAGGCTGACCTTGAACTCCTTATTCGACCTCTGCCTCCTGAATGTGGAGATCACAGGCATGCACCCCCACACCTGGCTCATCATTAACTTTCTCATGAATTTCTTTTCCTGACATGATTTCATAAACACATACATTTTACATAAATGCAAATGTATAAACTCACAGTACATTGACCAGTGTTATGGTATAGATGAGAGTCCTCCAAAGGCCCATGTATAAAAGGCTTTGTCCCCAGCCGATGGCGTTATTGCAAAGTGTAGAACATTTTGGAGGTGGAAGGGAGTTATGTCATTAGATGCATGCCCTCAAAGAGGATACCGAGATCCTGGCCCTGCCTCTTCCTTTCTCTTTTGTTTCTGCCATGGTGTGAGCTACTTCCTCTACCATGTGCTCCTGAGATGTAGTGCCTCACTAAAGGCCCCAGGCAGAGCCAAAAGACTATGTACTGAAACCTCCAAAAGGTAAGCCAAAATAACTTGTCCCTCTTTTTAACTTATCTCAGGTATTTCGTTATAGTGATGGAAAGCTGATTAACACAAAAGCTTGTGATTTTAAGCAAGCCCTTGTTTTGCCATTTAGAAGCAAAACCCAAGCCCTCCAAAACCTCAAAAAATTCAAAATTTTAAATACAAAAAAAAAATGAGTATGTTAAAAACACTAGGAATACAAGATTTTTTCAACAGTGAAGTATATATTTTTAAAAATAGTTCTGGAAATTACACTACTTCAAAATATTCTTTCTCTTTTTCTGATTATAAAAATTAAGTTTAAATTTCTGACTTCCTTTATACATTAAGTCAAATGCAAATTGATCTTGCTTCCTGTTTTGTTAGGATTTTAGTAATATGAGCCAAAAGGCCATAGACACTAGTAATCCCAATTATGGTATGTCCACATTCCATTCTCTTAACTAAAAATTTTAGTAATTGCCTTGACTTTTATTACTTATATTCATTTATAATTTAACTTACATTTAACTTGTTTCATTATTGACCTGAGTCTTTCTATATCACCACTTCGCTGATGTTTTTGTTTTCTATTCCTTTTTCACATTCTTGTAAGCCTAGTTTTTCTATCTCACAAGTCTCTTGTTCTTAGCTTTCTGGAAAAAAAAATAGGTAACCTTTGCTTGTTTCCATATATTGACTTTAAAAAATTTTTTTTCTTGTTTTTTGTCAAATATTTCTATTTTTATAATGTTCATTGTTTTTTCCTATTATTTGTGTGAGATCCAAAGAAGAGTAAGGCTTTGGTTCTACTTTTCCTACTTTCTTCATTAGCATCATAATAAATCGCTAGATTTGGCATCGGGCTTTCATTTCTGATATTCTACCTTTTCTTTGTCCTTTCCTGTAGTTTTTGGGATGACTCATGCTTATCTTCTAGGCTTATAGAGCCAACTTCCTACTTTTTCATCTCAATGTGTTTATTTTTTTAGTAATAATCTGGTTTGGAGGCATAGCTCAAGTTCCCGCCTAACAAGTGCAAATCCCTGAGCTCAAGCCCCAGTACTGCCAAAAAAAAAAAAAAAAAAAAAATCTTATTTAGTGAGAAAACAGGAAAACTGCAGAAAAGGAGAAATGAAAATCATTCCTAACTACTGTTCAGGAATTTGAAAGGCTAAAGCCAGGTGGATGCATGATGTTTAAAATTAGATTCTGAATCTTTGAACTTGATGTTCACCTCATCCAAAGGTGATCAGGCATTAGGATCTGTTTTATTCTTCCTCAGCTCACCCAAGATAGAGTTGGAGAAGATTCTATTTAGTCATTTTTATTAATAACACACACTGACCGCCCCCCTACTCATCATTGCTCTGGCTAGCCTGGGCAGTCTCATCCTGAATAAGAACCAAGCAATCTGACACTGTGTTCTCCCCCCACATCCCAAATCATTCCCTTGCCTCACACCCAGGTCAGTCACTACCCTGAACTCTATGTTTATAGAATAACCAGTCCCCAAAGATGGCCCCCAATGAACCACAACCCCTGGCATTCACACAAGTACATAATCACCTCTTGAATCTGGGCCAAATTTGTGACTCATTTTTGGTGAACAGAATGTATCAGAACTAATTCTCTGACTTCCAAAGCTGGCTTGAAAAATTTGTTACTTCTACCTACCTCTTTTGGTATGCTCCCTCTCAGAAATCAGCCACCCTTCTCTAAAAAGCCAAGGTACAGAGTAGCCCATCTGAGCTCTCTGCCAGTCATCACCAACTGCCAGGCACCTTGGACATCCAGCCCAGTTCAGCCTTCAGCCCCAGCTGTCATTTGAGTGGAAATCACTAACTGCCCAGCTAAATCCCCAAATAGGCTTATGATAGACATTAAAAAAATTGTTTTAAAATACTGAATTTTAGGGTGATTTGTTATACAGCAATACATAAGTAGAATATTTTCTTTAAACCGCTTGGTGTTTTTAATAGGTTGATCATGTGCATCTACCATTTAATTTATACTTAATTTTGAAAAAAAGGTATTATATAATTTCCTATGATTTTTTAAATCTCAAGTTTTAAAAAATGTATCCACATTTTTATAGCTGGTTCATTCTCATTACTGTTAATATTCCATAATTTATCCATTCTCCATCCATTTAATAGACATTCTGATTACTTAAAAATTTGATATTCCTACTCGGTATATCTTTAAACCTGTCTCTGATGCTCATGTGCTAACATTTATCTACTGTGCATATGAACATCTCTAGAAATGTACATATGCAAAATCTACCTGGTGTTATCCATTCTGTGTATGTATCTATATCTAGACTTGTTCCATTGTATACATACACATATCCAGAGTAAAACCTGTTTCCATGTACACATGATCAACTTTGTCAGTTATCTTCTACTCCTTTTAGAAGAGTATGAATTCTAGTTACTCCATATACATTCTGAGGCTTACAAGTGCCACACGATTTAACATCTGTACTTGAATTATGCCTGTGGTTCTAATTTGTATTTTTAAACTGAAGAAGTAATCATCTTTCATGCTTTTGAAGACTGCTGTTTCTTCCTCTGTAAATTAAGTACAGAAATACTTAGTCATGTAACCAGACCACTTTTCCTAAGTTTATTCATTTGCAAAACGTTATTTAAGATTGCAAGGTTACAACCATTTGTTGGCCATATTGTGGATTTATTTTGTCATGACTTTTCACTTCCTTTTGGGTATATTTTAATAAGCAGCTCTTTAATGTGAACAAATATACAAAAAGAACTTTACATAACTCATTTGCATTGAGAAATCCTCTGAACCTTGAGGCCACCAAGATACTCCTTATATATTCTGAAAGTTCCGCATATTTACCTTTCATACAATTGTAGAGATTCAGTTGCTTTTGTTCCTGTGTGAACCATTTCTCAGGATGGATTCCACTCTGTACATTCTCTATGCCCAATACCACCTTTTATAATTTTTAAAAAACTGCTTGGAGAGGGAAAAGGAATTAGCCCTTTGTTTTAAAAGGAGGTGTTTCAGCATTTGTGTTTGCCTGCTGAAAATGAGGTAAACTACATGATGTCAGCCTCTGTAAAGCTCAATGGTTTTGACTTGTGAGACAACTCTTAGGTTTGCTAGTACTGACTCACGTTTTAGAAATGGGCTGAAATGGGCTAAACTGTTAGAGGGTATACACCCATTTGTTAGAGGAAAAACATCTGAACTCAGAGCCTCAATTTTTGCTCAGTGGCCTTCAGAGTATGGGGAGGGAGTGAGTCTTGTAAAAGAGGAAAAGGAAGGGTGAATCACCTGGCTCACTTTACTTCCTTGGAGGATGGCCTGAGTTCCATATTGTTCCTGGGTTTTACAGGGTGCTCTAACCAGAAAGATCAAGGAAGCAAGCTCAGCCTGGGAGCCAAGAATTGTGCCCCCTACGGCTACATTGTGACATAATTCCTAATTTCTAGCAGCATTCTTCAGTAAATTAAATAAAATTTAGCAGTATTTGTCTGAATAACCTTCATTTTGCAATCTAATACAACAAAGGTAATCACTTTCTGAGAAAAACAAGTGAAATACCATGCATTTATGATCTCAATCAGAGGTTGGTCTGAATCAGCAGTTGGAACAGGTAGTCATGAAGAAAACTGAAAGGACAGTATACCTGCATAGTTTACAGTGATTTTTTTGTCACATGAATAGCTTAGAAAGTAATGAAATAACCCCAAAGTTTTAACAACCAAGAATAGAATCTGTTTTCAGAATATTAAAAAAACAAATTTTAGTGACAGTGAGGTAGCTGTTACATTTCTTTCCCCAAACATTCTTTCTAGTACAACTAGCTTGCTTAACACTTGAATGCAGTCTCAAAAAACTAAAGCCTGTACATTATGGTTGCACATTTACCTAAATCACTAGGTTCCCAGTGAGGTTTGTGAAAGCTGGTGGCTAGGAAGAAAATACTAATTCTTCAATCCTACATGGCCTCAATCTTACAGTCAGCAATAACTTAAGAGCCATGATAACGCATCTTACAGAAGCTTTCCTAACATTCCCAGCCACCCTGCAGCTTAAAGCACCTGATGTTTGGTTTGGTGAGATCTATCCAGCTCTGGAAGTTCTACCCATAACTACTCCTCATTACTTTCTCCCCAGGATGAATGCTTTGACAGTCATTATGGAGTGTCACCTGGAACATTTCTCACATGTATTTATATGGTTTCTCTCAATTATGAGTCCTCTGATGATTAGTAAGAGATGAGCTCTGACTAAAAGCCTTCCCACATTCTTTGCACTTATACGGTTTTTCTCCTGTATGAATTCTCGTATGTGTCATAAGGGATGAACTCTGTCTAAAAGCCTTCCCACACACTTTACAGTTAAATGGTTTCTCTCCAGTATGAATTCTCTGGTGCTGAATAAGCGCTGAGCTTTGGTTGAAGGCCTTTTCACAGTCATTACATTTATAAGGTTTCTCGCCGGTGTGAATTTTGCGATGAGTATTAACTGCTGAGTGAGAACTGAAAGCTTTCCCACATTCCTTACACTGATAGGGTTTCTCTCCAGTGTGGATTCTGTGATGTATATTAAGCCGTGAGATCCAGGAGAAGGCCTTCCCACATTCTTTACACTTGTAGGGCTTCTCTCCGGTGTGCACTCTTTGATGCTGGATAAGTGCTGAGCTCTGGCTGAAGGCTTTCCCACATTCTTTACACACGTAAGGCTTCTCACCAGTGTGAACTCGCTGGTGTATAGTAAGGGCTGAACGGTAACTGAACACTTTTCCACACTCGCCACAATGAAAGGGTTTCTCTCCTGTGTGAGTCCGATGGTGTCTGCTTAGCCGCGACACTGAAGTGAAGGCTTTCCCGCAGCGGCTGCACTCATATGGTCTCTCCCCGGTGTGAATTCTGTGATGCTGAATGAGGGACGAGCACTGACTGAAGGCCCTCCCACACTCACTACACTTATAGGGCTTCTCTCCAGTATGGATTCGCTGGTGGTTACTAAGGGATGAACTACCTTTGAATGTTTTGCCACACTCCTTACATTTATAGGGTCTCTCTCCAGTGTGCATCCTCTGGTGCCCAATGAGAGAGGTGGTGAAACTGAAAGCCTTCCCACACTCACTACATATGTAAGGCTTCTCTCCAGTGTGAACTCTCAGGTGCTGTGTCAGGGATGAGCTCTGGCTGAAAGCTTTCCTACACTCTTTACATTTGTAGAGCTTCTCTCCAGTGTGGATCCTCTGATGTTTACTCAGGGAAGAGCTGTGGAGGAAGATTTTCCCACAGATGTTACATTTATAACATTTACGTACCATGCTGACTCCCAGTTGTTTAAACAGAATTGAGTACTGCTGTGAACGGGGCTTTCTTCCTCTGGACACAATTCCCGGTTTTCTAGTAAGTGGTAATTTTAGACCAAAGTTTTTCCCGAATTCAATATTTTTAAAACTCCTCTCTTTTACATAGTCTTTCTTCATGGTAATGAATACTTTGTTTAAAAGTTTGTTCTTTTTGCCTTGTTGCATCATTAGCCTGTCCTCAATTATGTAGGTTTTCCCCAACCTGAAGTCAAAAGGACCATCAGCTATGAGTTTTTTCAAGACTTCCTGATTTTCTTCTTTAGAAACTATGGTTTCAAACAACCTCTCCCATCCTACAATAAATGAAACATATTAAGTCTCTTGCTCTGGAAATAAAGGAAAGTGACATGAAAGTATGTAAGGGCAGTTAACAAATAGTCTTGAAACATCAGGAAAGGACAGAAACAAGGAAAATAAGGGCAAGAAGCAGGATGGTAGATGTGTGGGGGGCAAAGATCCAAAGAAACCTACATGTGGTGGGCTGAGGAACTCAAAGGGAAAGTTCTGGTAGGGGAAGTAGCCAAGCTTCATCTTATAAAACCCAGGTCACTAGAAGTAAGGCATCTCTAAGTACAGAGGGCTTAAAAATAAGAAGTGAAAGCATAACTGCCCCAAGAGCTCTGCGATACACAGTTTCAGTAGTACCACTCAGGGACTCATCGGAGTGCTGTAAAATATGCTGTGATGAAAATTCACTTGATATTTACTGAGTGCCCACCTGTACCACGCCAAGGTTGTGGGAATTACATGATAGCTAACACACAGCCCCTATGTTAAGAATAAGCTTTGTGTGGTCAGAACATGCACGAGTCCAGCATGGCATAAGCGGAGTAAGGAGGTAAGTCTCATTAATGAGGAAAAGACAGGCAGGAGCCCTTGGCATGTAGAGTCTTGCACTACACAGGAAGGCATTTGGAACGGAATGTCTTCTGAGCATCATTGTGATTGGGGGAGGGTTAGACAGGATAACATGGTTTTAATTAAAGACGACCGTTCTGGTTTCTGGGTGACAAAAGAACTGTGTATCATTATGGGGCGGGGAAAAGAACAGAGGCAGGTGCAGAGAGGTCAATTAGGATGCTGCTACCATCTTCCTGGGTGCAGGGTGGCACTGGCATGTAGTGCTGGAGGCAGAGCAGGCACATCTGGGATGTGTTGGAGGTTCAGCTGGCTTCTCAACCACAATATGGTACTCTTTTCCTGCAATTGTTTATACTTTGGACCCTTTCCTCTTTAAACCTTTGTAGTTCCATAGCTATCTCAGCCATTTTAAAAATAGGAAAAACTGGAAATTAAAATTTCCAAAAGGAAAATTGTTTAATAAAATGTGGTTTAGCAATACAATAAAGGCCTTTCAAAAAGATAAAATTCTAAAGGTTGAACTAAAAGACATTCACAATTTAAAATTGTTTGCTAGTCTGTCTGTTATGCACACTCAAATATGCAAAATAGTCTGGAAAACAGTAAAGTAGTAACAATAGTTGATCACAGTTGGTAAAATTTCAGGCAAGTCTTCTTTTTTTCCTTCCTCCTCCTATTTTACAATACTAGGTACAACTTGTACAAATTAAAAATAATTTTTAAAACACTTGAAAAGAACAATCAATTTGAGTCTAATGTCTTCTTTGCCAACCAGAAGGTTCAGAGCCAAATCTGAAACTCATTGATAGCTGCCATTCTGGTCCTTACAACAAATATATTTATTTTCTAGGCTTCTGCTTGGATTTCTATTATATAATTATTCTTACAGTCAGTTCCCTCCAATTGTTGGTGGAATGTGGCAAAGTATATGTAAATATGTAGTAGAAACAAAAGATCCCTGAAAAGAAAAAGTACTTGTATCATTAAAGCACAAAGCCCAGTGAGTACCAAAAACCATTAAAGAAAAAAAATTCCTTGATACAACCTAATGAATTTTCTGAATTCAAGAATATATTCTGCAAAACTCCAGGCAGAAGACAGAAAGGAGAGGACCCACCTAGTCAGCGAATAGGAGAATCAGAATCAGACTGAGGACTTTTTTTTTTTTCGGTACTAGGTTTTGAACTCAGGGTCTACACCTTGAGCCACTCCACCAGCCTTTGTTTGTGATGGGTTCTTTTGAGTTAGGATCTTGTGAACTATATGTCTGTGCTGGCTCTGAACTGTGATCCTTCTAATCTCTGCCTCCTGAGTAGCTAGGATTACAGGCGTAAGCTACCAGCTCCTGGCAGACTGAGGACTTTTTTTTTTTTTATCAGTGACACTCAGTGCCCAAGCAAAGTCTGAACACTCCTGAAGGGGAAAAATGATGCCAGATTCTAGATCCAACAGACAACTCCCAAAGGAGACAGAAAGGAACTGACTTTACATACACACAAACATCACACATATGAACTCATGAAAATACTTACTCATGAAAAATTTTAGTCAAACCAAAGGGGAAGCTCTGAAGATAAGAGTTCACGAAAGGAAGCACAAAACAGAACTGGCACAGAAAACCCCATTCCCACCAGAGGAAGAAGTGAATTTTGGATGAGTAGCAAAAGCTAAAGCTCCAGAGTGCCATCTCCCTGGGCCAGAAACACAGACAAAACTCAAAAGCAAAGCAGCCCATGGAAGCTTACAATGTAGCACTCCCAGAGTTTTAGAGACTGAGTGATAGCCTAAGAGCCAGGACCTGGAACATACTTTGAAAATTTTCACAGAAAAGAGAAAAATCATCTGATGAATATTTGCAAACCTGCTTAAAATCCAGAACTGTTACCATTTTGCTACACCTGGTCTCTCTCTTTCACGTATGTAAATACATACACATATATCTGCTTTTTTTTTTCTGAACCAGGTGCAGACAAAAAAAAGTCAAACAAAAGACCAAGATGGAACATGAGTGATGTACTGTAGTGATAAAAGGTGTGTTCAAATCATCAAAGTAAGATAAAAAGTAAAATAATTAAATGATCAATCTGGTAAAAGCAGGAAAAAGGTAGATCTAAGAATGATAAACATTTACATAAAACATGTGGCAGTGCACAGTCTTCAAATTACAAGGCATATTTGTCTAAAGTGCCAACCAAACCTGGAGAGTTCACCTCTCCCTCTGAACTTGATGGATCAAGAATCAAAACCACAGATAAGGGATGTGCCCATTCCAGCATTTCTCCCTGGTCTGAGCAGTGTCTCCTGAGCACAGCCTCCTCACTGTGCCCGGGCAGGCTGGAAATGCCACACCCACTCCCCAATTACCCCGTCACTCACCTAGACATGTGCCTTGAGACACTCTATTTCCCATTATCCAGGGTTCTCTGGTGTGTTCTAACCAGGAGATGGCCTTTGGCTTGGAAAACAGAATCCCTGTTCATGAACAAGAAGGAGATACAAGTGACCCTCCTTGCACAGGGGCACAATGCAAGAAAGGAGATTTGATTAGAGGAGCTTAAAACTGGGCTCCTATAGGGAGGCTAGGAGGTAGTCTTGGGATGAGTTAGCTCTGGCTGTGCACTCTTCTAGCTGGAACATCTTAGGGACCAGGAGGACAGAGACAAGGTGCAGAGAGTAAGAGAAAGAGTCAGAGAAAGCCCAGAGAAGATGCCCTTTGTCAAATGGGCCATGCCCACACCTCTCTGTATGGCCAAAGGGAATAGTAACTGCCCCTCTGTGCCCATTCCCAGGCTGAACCTGGCCAAGCCCTTCAAGTGTCCTCTTGGGTGGGGCTACCTGCTCCCATGACAGAGTCTGTGCCCTGAGGAAAGCTCCTTACCCACTGAGACCAGGTTGCTGTAGTTCTCCAGCATCACCTCCTGGTACAGGCTTCTCTGGGCAGAGGTCAGGTGTAACCACTCATCCTGGCTGAAGAACACGGCCACATCCCAGAATGTCAAAATCTCCTGGAACAGCAAACCCAATCCTGCTTTCCAGGACCATCCCCATGGCATGACGACTGAGAGGCAACCATGCACAACTCAGGGTTGTGTATTTCAAGTCAAGCAAATATCCCTGCACAGTGGCACACATTCATTATGCACTACTGTAAGTGACACTGTGCCCTTAGAAAGCTTAAACACAGCTGCAAACAGGAACACTTTAAATCCCAAAACAAAACAAAATTATGATGACAGAAACACAGAACGTTCTGGGGTTTTTTGTTTGTTTTTTGGTTTTTTTTGGCAATGCTGGGGATTGAACCCAGCGTCTCTACCACTTGAGCCATTCCTCCAGCCCTTTTGCCTTTTGTTTGCATTTTGTTTTTGAGATAGGGTCCCACGACCTTGATCCAGGCTGGCCTTGAACTCTCCATCCTCCTGCCTCCACCTCCTAAGTAGCTGGAATCACAGGCATCCACCACCATGTCCAGCCCAAAAACACAGAACTTTAGACTTGGAAATGTACAGTCTCCTAGCCCAAACTCTCACCTTGTAGGTGAGTCAGGTTTTAGGCTTAGCCAGGTTTAAGAGGAGGCTCCAGCACCCACTTATGTGGGGACTGCCTGGCTTGCCTGAAAGGGCAGTCACTAAGTCCCAGCTGTGTCATCACCTTGATCTGAGTCCTCGGGGAGAAGACACTGACACAATAGGAGAGACTGAGAATGTCCTAGGCATGGCTTTGCCAGGAGAGGACCCAGGTGGTAGCTGATATGGATTCCCCCTCTCAATCCCAGGGGCCTTTGCTCCTCTACCTCTCTGCTACCTTGTGGACCACAAGCCACAACTCTGAACCAGTGGCCCCTTTCTTATTAAGAATCACTATATAGCCGGGTGCTGGCGGCTCACTCCTGTAATTCTAGCTACTCAGGAGGGTTGAGGTTCGAAGCCAGTGCCGGCAAACAGCTTATGAGACTCTATCTTGAAAAAACCCATTACAAAAAAGGGTTGATGGAGTGGCTCAAGTGGTAGAGAGACT